CTCCGGTCTGAATTGTACTCATGCTGCCGCCCGGGGTTGGGCCGTGGCTCATCTCGTTGAGCCTGGGATTCCCCTCCCCCACGTGCCGGCCTCGCAATATATGATTCGCAGCCTGGAGGAACTTAGGACCTGCTTCCCCGACTTGTTTAAGTCCAAGCAGGAAGTATAGACTCAATCACTTTATGCGATAGATAGATTTTATAGATGTGCACGGCCTCTTGGGTTTCAAGATGTCACGAAGACTATGAGCGATATTATCATTCTGACTTTGACGGGTTCTTATCTTGGGTACAGGCACATACTCTAAAACTCATGAATGCACATATAGTGTAATTGATACTCACGAGAATATGACCATTTCAATAGCGCACACTGCAAATTCAAAAATAGTGTAGTCAAATGTAGTCAAAGAAAGCAGATCAGCCAAGGTGAAGATAGACGTAGGGCTACTGTATGTCTTTCTGCCTCAGGCATAAACAACCGTGCACGAGTCGCGTCCTGAGGCTCCGAACGGGGGAGCTTCCCCGAACAGACACCATCAACAAGACAACAACATCCCATTCCCCTCCCTCTTCCACGACAGGACAATCCTGCACCGGGGCTTTCTATCGGCCTGAATGCTTCAATATGGCTGACCTATCTCCGGGCCATGTGGTCACTTTGACCGACGGTCGGCAGGCCACCGTTCGGTTTGTTGGCTCGACACAATTCGCTGCGGGAGACTGGATCGGCGTGGAATTGGACGAGCCCACGGGCAAGAACGATGGCTCAGTTCAAGGAGAGCGATACTTCGATTGCGAACCGGGATTTGGCATGTTCGTCCGGCCCACTGCCATCGCTGCAATTGTTGAACAGCCCGCTCGACCGACTAAGCCGGCCGCTCCTAAGGGGAATGCCACCACCACCCCAGCCAGCCGAAGTCGCGCCCAAAGTGGTGTCACTCCAGGGAACACCGGACTCAAGAGACCGACTTCCCTGTCATCTGCGACTGCAAAGAGACATAGCGCCGGGGCTTCGAGTCCGACCTCGGCCCTGAGAGGAGCCGCTCAACGCTTGTCAACAAAGGTATCGTACCGTACCTCTAGCACACCAATAGTAATATTAAGAAGCTAATGCTGGTCGCACGATAGTCTCCTACAAAGTCACCGACGAAACCCGCCTCCACCCCCCTCTCGAACAGATCGTCTGCAAGCAGCACACCGCGGCCGTCTGCGGTGGCACCAAAGACCCGGACATCCATCAGCTCCAAGACATCTATGGGCCCGCCCGCTCCTCCTTCGGCGACAACTCGCGCATCACGACCTTCGATATCTGCTCCAGCAAGCAGGACAGGCAGACCCAGTGTCCAGGGTACAGCGTCGGCACCGTCAGGATTGACAAAGCGACCTGTGCTCCGACCCACCGGCTCAAACAAGGCATCGGAAGAAGCAGAAAGTGTAGCAAGCCCTCAGTCTGAGGAATTGGAGACAAGCTCCCATGATGTCGAAGAGGAGGGCGCAGATGACGCGGATCCGGCGCCTAAGGCCCCGAAGCCCACACCGAGTTCTTTGCGGACAGCTACCAGCCAAAGACCCCAACCCACTCCGTCACATCGACAGTCGCTAAGTGGCAATGTTGTAGCAAGGGAACTGGATGAGCTGAAAACCAAGCTCCGGGTCATGGAAAAGAAACGGGCCGACGATCGCGAGAAGCTGAAGACACTGGAACAACTTCAGTCGGAACGAGACAAGTTTGAAGGCATCATCCAGAAGCTGCAAGCGAAGTATCAGCCGCAGCAGCTTGAGATTAACGAGCTGCGGAAGAAGCTGAAAGATTCGGAAGCGAGGCTCGAGGAAGTCGAGCGACTCCAGGCGGAACATGATTCGCTTATGGAAATGGCCACTCTGGACCGCGAAATGGCGGAAGAGACCGCGGATGCTTTCAAGCACGAAGTCGAGACTCTCAGGTTGAGGGTTGAAGAGCTCGAACTGGAAGCGGAGGTTCTACGCGAAGAAAATGAGGAACTTGGTCAGGTTATGAGCCCGGAAGAGAAGTCCAGCCATGGATGGTTGCAGATGGAGAAGACGAATGAGCGTCTTCGAGAGGCTCTTTTACGTCTCCGTGATATGACCCAGCAGCAAGAAGCGGAACTCAGGGACCAAGTCAAGGAGCTTCAGCAGGATTTGGAGGAATATACCGCCATCAAGTCTAAATATGAGAAGACAAAACAGAAGCTGCTCGTAGCCGAAAACAATGTGGAACACCTGAAGCAGCAATTGGAGACGGCCCTGGGAGCTGAAGAAATGATCGAGGAACTTGCCGACAAGAACATGCGTTATCAGGAGGATATCAACGAATTGAAAGCAGCCATTGAGGATCTGGAGGCTCTGAAAGAGATCAACGACGAACTCGAATACAACCACATCGAGACGGAGAAACAGCTGCAGGAGGAGATTGACTACAAGGATGGTCTCTTCACTGAACAAAGTCGCCGGCTCGCCCAGCAAGACGAAGTCATCGAGGATCTAGAATACACTCTTGTCCGCTTCCGAGAGCTGGTCTCTACTCTACAGGGAGACCTGGAAGATATGCGTGCATCCCAACAGATCTCCGAAGCAGAGGCTACCGACCTCTCCACGCGCTCCCGGGCCATGATGGACCTCAATCTTAAGCTTCAGGCCTCGGTTTCAAAGGCGCAGACGAAGACAATCGACATTGAACTCAACCGTATGGAAGCTGAGGAAGCGGCGCAGCATTTGTCCATTACCAAGCTGTATCTTCCCGAATACTACGAGAGTGAGCGGAATGCCGTTCTCGCGCTTCTGCGCTTCAAGCGCGTGAGCTTCAAGGCGACCTTGATGACCAGCACTTTCCGTGAGAAGGTTTCTGAACAGGCGTCTGTATCTACACCCCTCGAAGACCTTTTCATTGCTAACGAGGTCATGGAGAAGCTCTTGTATATTGCTTCTCTCTGTGACCGGTTTGTGAACTACATCACGAACTGTTCTTCCGAAGGTTTTGAGAGTATCAAAGGAGCCTTGTTCGAGATGGAGCCGGTTGAGCGCACATTGAACTTCTGGTTAGAAGCTCTGAAGAAGAACGACGTGAACATGAAAAAGTGTGCTGTTGAGCTGCAGCGGTCTATTGCACTCTTGTCCCATCTCACCGAGACTCTTCTTCCCAGCTCCTTGGAAACGTTCGCCGACGAACTGTGCATGCGCTCCATGTTGGCCCAGGCCTACACCGACCACGCAGCCTCGGCAATCTCACGTCTCAAGTCATTGTTCCAGTCGAAGCTTGTGGTGCCGGAAGGCGGCGACGAAGAGCACACCTTCCTATACAACAAGATGGAAGGACTTGTGTCTCAAGCCCGTGGTCTTAAGGTGGCTATGGGAAAGATCAACCGCTCCCTGGAAGATCTTCGCTCGAGGTCTCTTGCTCTCTCGCAGGACGTTGTCGGCCCTTTCAAGCAAGCTGAAGAGGCTGCCAAAGACTTGTCAGACCTGACTCGCCAAATTGGGGAGAACATCGTCTTCCTCATCATCGACGAAAGCCGCACGCAGCCTCTATCCCTGGAAGAAGCATTGAACACCATGTCTCAGATCTCCACCCTCTACGCCCAGCCCTCCGAAACAGGAAGCGAAAGCAGCGACACGATGTTCCTCATCGGCAACCGACTCCGCAGCCTCGGCGGCCTCCTCGAGGAGCTTGACTCCATCACGTCCGATCTCTCCATAACGACAGAATTCGAGCGGCGTCCCTCCCCGTGGACCGTCCGATCCGCAGAGCTCAAATCCAACAAAACCATCTCCCCCGACGCCGACGAAGAAATCCGTCGCCTGAAGAACGAGATCCATGAAGCATCCACCGCCCTCGGCGTCAAAGACCAAGCCATCGAAGAACAAGCCATCAAGGTCGAGCTCGTCGAGTCCCGGATGCGCGAAGCCAGCAAAAAGGCATCAATGGTGAAAGACCTAGAAGCTGAGCTGGAGAAGATCCGCACCCGAGAAACCGAACTCACCTCCACCGTTGAAAAGCAACGCAAAGACCTCGAAGCCCTCGAAGCCGAGCGCGACGAGATCAAATCCCGCCTCGACAAAGTCAAACGCATCTCCGGCACCACCGGCGCCACCACAACCGAAGGCATCGCCGTCGACGCCGGCGTCTCCCTGGCCACCATGCGCGAGAACGAAGCCCTCCGCGCCGAAGTCGAAAGCCTCCAAGCCGCCGTCCGCTACCTCCGCGAAGAAAACCGACGCGCCAACATGCTCGACCCCTTCTCCGTTCAACGCTCCGCAGACCTCTATTCCTGGCTCGACATCCCCCTCACCTCTGCCCCAACCACAACCACAACCCCCACCACCGAAAAACTCCACCAAACCGCCCACGAAAGCAGAGAAGTCTTTACCCACCTCCTCAAACTCACCAAAGACTCCAACATCTGCGACCTCAAATCCACCCTCACCTCCTCCAACTCCACCAATACCCGAACAGGCTGGCGCCCCTCCAAAACCAAACTCCGCTACCAAGTCCTCCGCCAGCGCGAAAACTTCTCCCGCTGGGCCGAATGGCGCGACGAAATCATCTCCCACGAGCGCGAACAAGACCGCGTCGCGGCCGCCAAGAAAGACCGGTTGGCTCGCGAGCAGGATCGTGATCGTGCGCGTGGCCATATGCCACGGAACTCGGCTTACGGGGCGAATTTCCCTCAAGGGTTAGGTCATGGGATGATGGGTCGCGCGTGGCAGATCCTGGGCATGGAGCATGAGGGGAGGAAGGCTGCTGCTGGTGCGGGCGCTGTTTCTCCTTCGGCTATTGGGGTTGCTATTAGTGATGAGACTTTGAGAGGAGAGGGGGGTGTTGATGTTGATGTTGATGGGGATGGGGAAGCGGCGCTGGCGTCGTTTGATTAGGTTGTTGTAATTATGCAAATATTTGGACTTGAATGTAACTACTAAAGACGCATGCACTGCTTTTGGGTTGAGATGAAGCGGTTAAATACAGACAAAACCCAGACCTATTCACTTTACCAACGCAACCCCAGTATAACACCCCTCATCCCTCCACACCACCTTCTTCTCCCCATCCTCTAAATCAACACAATACATACTCCCTCCCAAATCAGCAACATACACCTTCTTATCCTTCCTATCCACCTTCAACCCAATAGGCTCATTAAAATGCCTTGCCAGAACCTCCCTCGACTCCTGCACCGCCACCTCACCACCAACCTTAACCCTATTCATCGAACACCCCCACGGATGCTCTCCCCGATCGGTCCAATATAGCATTCCCTCCTCTTCGTCAAACTCCAAATCAATCGGCTCCGGCAATCCCTCCAACACCATTTCGACATCTTCCCGACTATCAGCCGTCTGTCCAGCCGGCACCTCCAAACCAGCACGGAATATCCGCCCCTTCCCACCTTTACTCGGGCCCTTCTGCGTCCAATACACATGTCTGTTCTTCCGGTCCAATGCAATTCCCACGCACCACCGCGTCATGTCTCCGCGGTGGGTGGCATCATCGAGCGCTCCTGTCCGCACCAGCACCTCATGGCCAGACCCGTCGAACCGCACCCGATGCACGCTCATCCCTTCACGATCGCAGAAATACACGTGCTGCGTTGTATCATCAACGACAAGCTGTTTGGGGGTGTGCACCGCCCCAGCTGGAAGTAAGGTGCATATATCCTGACCATCCAGTGTCGCCGAGTGCACAGATCCATCGTGCGTGGATGTCGACTGCCCCATGTTCGTCCAGAAGATGCGTCCTGTCGTCTGGGACACGTCGATCCCATCCGGGAGAGACTGGCCTGAGATAATGGTGACGGGGGCCATGCCAGTGGTACCTGGCTGGAACTTCAATATCCTCCCAGCGGTAGAAACCTTCTCGATATCAGAAGTATTCGCTCCCAGCCCAACATCAAGAAGATATAGCAGAGGCGCTTCTCCCACCACCTTCTTCCCCTTCACGTCTTCAGTAAGATCAGGTGGCGGATACAATCCTCCCAACCCCTCATCAGCCTTCTTCCCGACCCTCCCAACACTCACAAATTTCTCCCTCACCCAATCCACCGTCGACCGTCCATCCAGTCCCCTCTCCCGCACATAATTCTCCTCGATATCAGCCACCGTATCCAGCCCAACCGCATCCATCAACCGACACGGCGGCAAACTCTCCTTCCTACCAAACATCTCCTCCCACAACAGATCAATCTCTTTGGGTTCACTCACCCCCTCCGCCAAAATCAACAGTATTTCACGCTTGATCGCCGCCCAGAGACGATTGAAGATGAACCCCGTGGACTCCTTCCTCGCTGTCACCGGGATAACTCCACACTCACTCAACACCTCACTGAGCATGGGGAATACCCGCTCGTCCGTCTCCCCACAGGTCATTAGTTCCACGGTACGGATGGACGGTGGCATAGTGAAGTGCATGTTGAGGAGAAGGACCCGTCGTGACAGTGGCAGATGGCCGCCAATTAGGCGGGATTTGTAACTGCTGCTGTTCGACGCGAGGATACAGTCCGCTGGACTGTGGGCATGGAGATCTGCGAAGAGGGTTTTCTTCAAGGGCAGGATCTCAGGAACGGCTTCGATGACTAGCCAGGCGGTGGCGACTGCTTCAGGGATAGAGGTGAAGGTTGAGATTTGGCCCGGAGAAGAAGACGGATGATGAGGGGTATGGGTAGTGAATTCGTGGATGTGCGTCGAGACGTAAGTTCTTGCAGAGTCAAGAGCAGAGGATGATGGATCGCTGATGTGCACGGTATACCCGGCAGATGAGAAGACGGCGGCGATGCGGCGGCCCAGGATACCGGCGCCTATGACGACAATAGGGCGAGTTTTGGAAGGATGGGGAATGGTAGTTGTAGACATTTTGAATGCTGTAGATTGGAAAATGAAGTATAAAAAAACTGGTATAAGATAAATGGATACAATATAAGAGCACAGATAGGAAATCCCAGCACAGCACAAAAACCGTCCATCCGTACGATAGGAAGATATCTTATATATAAATATATATATACACTCTACCAATAAATACCCAGTACCACAAACCCGTAATTCAGAATCCCGAAACTTCACGTATACAATTCCTATCCACCACAATGCCGGGAAGCCGAAGAAACCCAACCCAACCCGCAACGGAATGACTTCGGAGACCCTCGGACACGGAACGGATACAGTTCGGAGAGCCTCGGACTCGGAACAGAGAACAAGTTCGGAGAGATTTTTTAGAAAGCCAGCAAGTACCGAACCCTGAATTCTTGGACTCCACATGGGGCATTCTTCTGCACAGTGGACCCGAAGTAAGGGGAGGGAAAATCGGTTATCGGCAAGTTTAGCCTCCTTACTAGACTGGAAGTTCGGAGAAGATTCTTCTCGGTTGTTGTTGTTGTTGTTGTTGTGCCGGTTTCCGAGCAGGGTGGTCTTTAGGGATGGATTTCTGGAATATTTGATGGAGATGGTTAGGCGGGTTGTGGATGATGAATCAATCCTGTTTTGACCATTTTTGGGGGAGTAGTGGTGGGCTGGTGGGTCGTTGGTTGTAGGATGGTGATGATGATGATGATGATGATGAAGGTGTTTGCTCTTTGAGCTTGCTGGGTTACAAATGATGAAGGCTGCAGGTGTATACTACTAAAAGGTGCGTTGGTATGATATGTATGTTGGGGGATTGAAGTAGGGTACTAGTATGTCAAGATGGAGGGTCAAAGATGTATGGATTTGGATCTATCTGATCTCAAGAGAGTAGTTGGTTGTTGTTGTTGTTGTTGTTGTTGTTGTTGTTGTTGTTGTTGTTGTTGTTGTTGTTGTTGTTGTTGTTGTTGGAAGATATGTTATTGCTATGATTTACTGGAGGAGATGAAATGATCAGTATTTGAGTAGCTCTCAATGTACTGGGGAAATCGTAGTCAGAGTTAGAGGATATTAGCAAGGATTATACAGAGTTGCTTGCAATCTTTGATGCTAGGGGGGTATTTGCCACCGACATACTGCTACTACGTGCGGGTTTATCAACTTGGCGGCTGAACTATTGGTAAGCTGGCTCGATTATTGGTAAGTGGACTCTATACGTGAAACTGAAATTGTTCAACTAATCTATTAGAACAAAAACACCTGATCCCCAGCCTTCGCCACCGCCCCAGGCATAGGCCATCCCAATTCCAGCAACACCTTCTTCATAGCCCCGATCATTGGCGGCGGCCCACACAGCAGCATTTTACTATCCGGTTCAACAACAGGCAAATGCCTCTGAATAAGCTCAGCACTCACAAACCCTCGGTACCCAGTCCAGCTATCATCAGGCCTACTCAGCACATAGTGCACCTGAAACCTATCTGAATGATCACGAGCAAAAGCCTCCAGCTCTACGCGAAGCAAAATATCCTCCTCGGTATTATTAGCATACAGAAGCGAGACGCGTGTATCAGTGTCTGCCGGATCCTCGCAAATGGCGCGGATAAGCTGGTACATAGGGGTGATGCCAGTGCCGCCGGCAATCATGCCAATGTGTTTGGCATACCGTGGGGAGTACTGCATGGCGCCCTTGGGGCCGCGGATCTCGATGGTATCGCCTATTTTCATCTGCGCGAGGTGCTGCGTCATTGCGCCCTGCGGGTAGGCCTTTACGAGGAGCTCGATGCGGCCGCGATCCTTGTTGTTCGATATGGGGGTGTATGAGCGTGCTACGCTGGTGCCGTTGATTGTTGCACGTAGGGCGATGTGTTGTCCTGTTGGGAGGCCGAGAATGTCGTCGGGGTTCGGCAGGGAGAAAATAATGTGGTAAACATTCGGGGCGATCTCGGTTTTCTGGGTCATGGTGAAGGGTCGCCATTGTCGCGGGTCGAGAGGCTTTGGTCTCGGGATGGTGATAGTTGTCTTGGAAAGGTGCATCAGATGCGCGGGCTTGGATGGTCTGTGAGAGGCATAGTGCGTGAACTCTTGCTGTACGTCTAGCTTCGTCGACGCCCATAAACCTAGGCCAAGTGTTGCGGAGAATTGGATGATGCTGGAGATGCCTGCACCTAACCAGAATTGGCTGGCGTTATTGCCATCGGCGCCCCGTGGGAGTTGGATGAAGGAAAGCGCCGAGTGCTGCACAACCTGGAGGGCTTCTGAGGGCGTCATGCCTCGGTTATAGACTGTCACGATGGCTGTGACGACGAGACCGCTCAATCCGAGTTTGCTTGCCGTGCGAAGGAATCCCCATGGCGAGGGCTTCTTCACGTTGACGACAGCGGACTGTGACACTTGTTCGAAGGTCGGACGGTAGATCTCCACAGTCTCGGCTTGTTCCTAGGCAAGTCAGGGTATGTAGTCTGAATAGGGGTTAAGATAGTACCTCTGAAGGTAAGTCGCCAACAAAGTAGGGCTCGAGCTGCTCGCGCGCCTCATCGGAGTGGCCGATTTCTTCAAAAGCTTCGGTGGCATCGGTACCGGCGGCTTCGATGAGAACTTCCTTTCCACCGGGATGATCTTCTAGATAATGGGTAACATTGTAGACTACATTGACGGTCAACTTCCATATCCTGCGAGGCAAAAGAGTAAAGTGACTAACCCTTGTTGTGGAGGACGACCCAGAGGTCGTCGGCCGTGTTGTGCTTTTGCACTTGCGCCAGGGTGTATGTCGCCATGGTAAATTGTGTGCTGTAGGCTGGTTTATTTCGTGCAGACACAGGGCATACTTTATAACTATCATTCACATCCTGAGCGTGATGTTTCCGGTTACCCGTGCAAACATAAGACTGGAACCTCGGCCGAAGTTCGTGCGAAGTCCGTACGAACACCAAGGAGGTGGCCCTTACGTGACTCCAAGCAGACATTGGAGATGCAGAGGCCAAATCTCATCTTTAATGGAATATAAAGGTTACCCTTGCCAAAAGGCAGTCCTGGTCTGTTGTCCTACAGCAGTCCATACTTCCCTTACAACATGCAGTGTCATTTCTACCTCGTAGGCGAAGTCGTCGCCACAGCGCAGTGTCTCGAAGTCGACGCCCTCTGGAAGTTCGAGGACCTCCAACGCGCAGTCGGGGGTGTATTTCATGTCGTTCAGCCTACCGGAATTTCGTTCCACACCTCCTCTATTGATACCTTGACAACGGTGTCCGAGGTGCTCGCGGCCGCGACGACGTCCACTTCTCCCGTAGGCCTGCGCATCGACGGTAACGCCGTGCAGACGCCACAGGGCCCGCCAGGCCTGCCGCTCGTTGGCAGCTTCTATGAGATTTTTCCGGACCACCTTGGCAACCATTACCGGCTGTTCCGCAAATATGGCCCTGTCATCAAGACTACCAATATGGGCAAGACGATTTACCTGACGGACGATCCGCAGGTGGCAGCAGTGTGTTTCGCCGAGTCAGCGTACATGACCAAGAAGATCAATTCCGATCACCCACTCTGGGGCGTCAAAGACAACACAGCCATCTTTATCGGTGACACGGAGACGGAGAATTGGCGGCTGGCGCACAAGTACCTACCGCCAGCTATGGGGCCCAAAGCAGTGCGGCACTACACGGGGCTGATGCAGGAGTGCGCACGCAAGTCATTGCCCGTGTTCGACGAGCTGGACGCCCGTGATGAGTCCTGGAACGTATACCAGTATATGATAAAACTGGCATCGCAGACTATTGGCCGCTTCTCTCTCGGCAAGGATTTCGGCCACTTCAACGCCGTCGACAGCCCCCTGCACCCCATCGTCACCAACATTGCTAGTCTGCTCTCGCTCAACAAGAAAATCACAGCCCGCGGTGAATGGTACCGCCACCTGCCCTTCGGCGACCCGGCTCGTCTGCGCCACGTCCAGCACACCATCTACTCGCTGCTGCAGGAGCAGGTCGACACGGTGACGGCCGAGTCGTGCAGCACCGACGCGCCCATGGCCGACGCCGCGTTGTCTGCTACCTGTGTCGTTGACTACCTGTTGCACGCAGTCGACGACGCAGGAGCGCACTTCCCGCCATCCCTGATTCTGGCCAACATGCTGATTGTGACGGGGGCTGGGTTCACGACCACATCGGCGCTGCTGTCATGGCTGATCTACTGCCTCGTCACGTACGAGGGTACGCAGGACCGGCTGTACGCGGAGCTGGTAGAACACGGTATCGTAGGCCCTGCTGGCGAGCGAAATCAGACGACCTGGACGCCGGACCTGGCACACAGTCTGCCGTACATGGACCGGTTCGTCAAGGAGACGCAGCGACTACACAATGCCTCCTTCCAGCCGGGCCGCACAACAAAGACCGACGTCGTCCTCCCCGGCGGCTATCGCCTTCCTCCCGATAGCGTCATTGTGCCTGCCCTATATGCCATCCACACCAACCCCAAGGTCTGGCGTGATCCCTTCCGCTTCGACCCGGACCGCTGGGACACGGACGAGGTTAAGAACCGCCACCGCTGCGCCTATGTACCGTTCGCAACGGGGCCGCGCGGCTGCATCGGCTTCAACTTTGCTTTGTTGGAGGTAAAGATCCTGCTGGCCGAGCTGGTGAGTAGGTACGAGTTCGTTCGTGACGGTCAAGAGGCCATCGATTATGACCCAGAGTTCCAGCTCATTAGGCCTTTGAACTTTTATGTGAGGGCTAAGCGCCGCGTGTGATTGACGATCGAGGCCATTGTGTATATAAGTTGATAGAAAAAGTACTTTGTAGTGTTAATTAGACGTGTTGTATAGACGTGTTGTGAATATTAGCAAGTATTCAGCCGGCACTGTGGCAAATCTCGCGCAGGGCTTTAAGAGCCCGGGAGTACGGCCCGAAGTAGCGCACATTGGTGTCGTCGTCGCACCACTCGGATTCTTTCTCCTCCTTTTCAAGCACAGCTATCAGTCGCTGCACAAGGAGATCCGACTTGCGCCGCTCATCGACTGGCGCATGGTTGAGGCTTTTGAGCGTGATGGCGCAGCTTACCGCGTTGTGAACAAAGGCCCAGGA